GGGGGGGGATTAATGAATGCATATAAATTACAATGGATATCCACTGCCTGTTGGGCTATTAATATCATAATCAACGTACAAGAAGGGCTCACAAGTGACATCACATCGAAACAGGAGGATTTCTCCACAAATCTGGCTTCTGCCTGATGATGCCGGTTGTAATTACTGGCGAAACGTCATTCTCAGATTGTAAATGTTGTTGTGGCATTGCTCTCCAACACACCGGTGTGCTGTACTAGTAACGAAATGCCATGTTCTGTTTACGTGAAAAACCTTACTAATTGGCTGTGTCGGGTGGTGGCGGGTTTAACGACACATTTATATTTACGCGATCTAACCCAAAAAAACCTGCATTGTGGATGATATTTGTCGTGAAAGCCGACGTGTTAAACTGTATCCCAGTGAGCGCGTGAATTCGTCGTACCCGATTCGAAAGTCGGCTACACAAAACGAGCCTCCCATCGTGGCCTTAAGAGACGCGTGCCCGCGTGGAACGCTATCGCACGGCACCGACCTGTTGACCCTGCTGACCCGAGAGCGCCAGAAGCGATTCGGTTCGTGTGGCCCGTGCGAGAAAACCGGCGACGCCGAGAGGAACCTGCGGCACCGACGCCGCTCCAACCGGCAAAAAACAAAAACCCACCGGGGGGCTCCCGCGCTAGCAAATGGGACACGGTCGCGACGGCCCCGTGGGACCAAGGGCAGAATTGAGGTTTGCAGAGCGTGCAGAGCGTACAGTGCTTGCGAGGTGCACACGCACCATCAGGAGGTGATACGGGCCCAGCTGGCCGGAGGAGGTCTCGTCACGCCGGAACACAATTGCTCATTCTAGATTTGAAGCTTTCGTGACTGCAAGGATTCATACTCTTAGGTCTTTCGGTAAAGTCACGTAGGTAAAAAATGAAATTAAAATTTATAAAAATAAAACAATAAAATCACGACGTACCTGATGACGGAGACTTGTGTTGCCTCCGAAACGTCGTGATTTTATTGTTTTATTTTTATTAATTTTAATTTCATTTTTTACCTACGTGACTTTACCGAAAGAACCAAGAGTACACAATTGCTCACTTTCCAGACGGTTTCAATTCTGCGCGGAGGATTTGTGGCCGGCGCTGATCGCGCGCCCGTGCACGCCCACAGAAAAGGCAAAAGGTCCCCTCTCCCATATAGCCTTCAACAGGCCGTTGGGGCAAGTGCTGTTAAGCGAGCAGCTGTAAAGGCCCGCATGGTACACGAGGAGGCGGGTGGCCAACACCACGCCCAGCCGCTTTTGTTTCCCCAGTGCTGATGTTTGCACACCGCACCCGGGTACTCATTAAGACTGAGTTAACCTAAGGGAGGCCCAAGACTGGGTCAATCGATTTGCCAATGTTATGATTGGTAATGAGCGGGAATCGAACTCTGATCGCCGGGTTCGTAGCGCACTGCACTAGCCAACGCGCAATCAATTCCGCAAACATAGCACGCGTGTGAACACACATAAAGACACACACGTTCAACAGATCCATGTCCCCGTGTGAACCATGGCAGGTAATTCAACACACGCTATTTAACAAAGGTCATTCATGTCATCAAGTGGAATGGCCGTTGGAATTAATTATCCGTTTTTAAAATGGGAACTCGAAAAACTGGACCTGTGAAAGACAGAAAGACATTTTCAAGTAGCTCATAATTTTAGCTGTTAAGCTCTGGTTTTACAACACAAAGGCCCAACTTGTGTGAACTACACTGCGACGTCTTGAACATCTGCTTCATACTGTAACAGACGATGCTATTTGGTAATGAATCCTTAACGCGGAAACTCTCAATTCGTGCGTACGGGGCCTTCGGATCAGATTGACAATATGCGCATGAGAGGATTGTACAGCTGACTGTAGCATATGTTCATTGTGCCTTAAGAAAAGAAACCCTAAACAGTATTGTGGGCTAGTTCCCTTGCTATGCTGCAAAGAGTACAGGACAACGATGGTTTTAGCTGAGATGATTGGTCGATAAAGTCACTCCATGAATTAAAAATTCAAAACCAACACATTTTTTTTTATGGTCAATTACTCGGGACCCTTTGAGACTGGGTGCACTCTTGCAGTGCATCACGGTTTGGTGATGCCGATGATGTTATTAAGCCCTGCCCATTACCTCCCGTCCAGCATCACATTTTGTCAACAGAGGTGAGACTATCTTTTGCCAACGATTTTTGTGCTTACTCTTTGGTTCTTTCGGTAAAGTCACATAAGTGAAAACATAGAAATAAATAAACGAATGTATTTATTTTTATTTTAAAAAAAATTTTCACCTACGTGACTTTACCGAAAGAACCAAAGAGTATATGGATCCTTGCAGTCACGGAAACTTCAAATCTGGAATATTTTTGTGCTGTACAATTGGTTGAGTAATCGAGCAATCGAACCGATGATCGGTGTAGTAATCAATTAATTGATTAATCAGATAGCCCAGTTTAGCATGTCAATACCAAGACACACTTCTCTACGACTCCCGTCTCTCCGATTATGCCTCGTGAGAGTGCAGACAATTTCCACTAACACGTCACACCTATCCTGAAATCTGGCTGAACATCTGTTCACCACACAATACGGCGTGTGAACAAGAATGAAATAAAAAAATCACAAGGCCCTTTGTCAATCCACTTGCTGGATGACTTCAGCCCCCCATTCCCTGCTCGTCATGGCCGTTACTTGAACCACACTTCACCGCGTGGGTGAAGGGGGAGGATAAAGAGGAATTGGGGGATTCTAGATTTGAAGCTTTCGTGACTGCAAGGATTCATATTCTTAGGTTTTTTTCGGTAAAGTCACGTAGGTAAAAAATTAAAATTAATAAAAGTAAAATAAAAATAAAATAAAAAATAAAAATCACGACGTTTCGGAGGCAACACAAGCCTCCGTCTTCAGGTGGAACCGTCACAGCACGATAGCTGTATCAAGTGAGAGAAATTCCAAGAAAACAGTCCTTGTATATATACTGGTTGAGGGTGGGAGGAGCCAAAGTAGGCCCTGAATTTTTTTTTTATATGAAAAAAATAATATTCAGGGCCTATATGCTGGTTGAGGGTGGGAGGAGCCAAGGTAGGCCATGAATTTTTTTTTATATAAAAAATAAAAATTCAGGGCTTACCTTGGCTCCTCCCACCCTCAACCAGTATATATACAAGGACTGTTTTCTTGGAATTGGGTGAGCCCAAGAACAACTCAGAGTTCAATTCCCGAGACCTGTTCAAATCAAGCGGCTGGACAGAATCAAACTCAGGTCGCCCGAGCTCATAGTGCAATGAAGCTAACCAAAGCACCACCGCTCTTCCCCAGTGTAAGTTATTCTTGTGAAAAAATTAAAATGTGAAATGTTAAATAATTTAACAGAACGTGTGTATTCACCGTGTGCCCTCTTGCTTGGCAAATTATCCAAATGGCAAATGACATAATGTCAAAGTTGGTTATGAATATGTATGTAAAGGCACACACATTGTGAGCTTTTATCAGTCTCAGAATGCCTGCACGCCTGCGTGCATGTCAATGTCGTTTCCTAACGTTGCACCCACCATTCACCAGAGGGCCCCCCCCCCCCTACGACCTTTGTGAGAACAGATGAGGCCTTCTATGTTTGCGCGCGCACTACGTTCATAGTCAAGGTCAAGAACACAGCATGTACTCATCCCTCATTTGCTTTATAACCACGTTAATTAAGCGCACGTAATGTGCTCCTCACCGAGCTCTTTGGTAAAACACGAAAAAAAAGAGATGCACTGCCATTGGTAACATTTAACGATTGCTCTCCCCACACGCCGGGTGTGCTGTAGCAGAAATAAATTGGCCGCGTTTGTTAAACTCGTGACTGGCTTTGTCGGGTGGAGGAGGGGGGTTGCACGACACACATTACACTTACACGATCTGACCCAAAAATCTATTACGAATTATAATGGTCGCGAAAGTCGACGTGTTACATTTTGTGATTATATTATTCACTTGTGGAGCAGTGGCGCAGTGGGTCCTTGCCACGCACTATGAACACGGAAACCTGAGTTCGACTCCTGGCCATGGCTAACATTGGTGGCAAGCGAACACATTCCTGCGGAGGGAGCTGGTAGGAACGTTGGGTTGCTCGGTCAATGGCCTGCAGGGTCAACGGCAGGCGTGGTGTATTCCGCAAATATGGCCGACTGTGAGGGCGGGCACAAGCCGGCGTGTGTAGGTTAAACGTTGAGTTTTATAAGGGCACCACGGGGTGACCAGCCCCTCCCCACCCAGCCCCACCCCACCCTCCCCATCCAGCCCCTCCCCACCCTCCCCTCCCCACCCAGCTCCACCCTCCCCAACCAGCCCCTCCCCACCCAGCCCCTCCCTCCCCACCCAGCCCCTCCCTGCACGACGGACGGACGGACACAATAATCCCCTGTGGGCTGGTGTAACCAGGAGGTTCCTATCAGTATAACAGAAGGTCCTGGGCCCCTACCTTCACCAACACGCAATGACCGGCATGAAGTAATGCTAAACAACTCCCCATGATCAACCAGCATCAGACTAACAAAGAGCTGCACATTATTACACATTATTATTCATCAAAAACATTGCGCAAATTTCAATCGAAGTTAAATAATATATTCCCTGTAGCATAAGTCTGCTTGGGAATGTGATTACTCAACCGTACTACAAGAATGAGACTCCAATGTTTTGACCATCGTTAATGACAACCTCACTGAAAGATATGTAAGTGGGGAAAAAAAGGACAACGGACAGATACCGTCACGCAATGGACACACACTTTCCTCTTCACCGAGCAGATGACGATCGAATGAAGCGGAGTAAACCGTCTCTTGATATCTCCGCGGTCTGACTGCCCCGCAGGGAGGGTCACACGTTCACCGACGCGAACTTCCTCCGAGCCGAGAGTTGACCGAATTGGTTTTTCTCCTTACAGCAGAGAGCCCCTTTTCAAGCGCTCCGTGAACACACAGAGGTGCAGCGCCCCGGCGCACGAGCACTCACCGTTGGGCCTCTGAAGGGCGCCGCCGCTCGTGAAGCTGGCGCTCTTCTCCGCGGACGGCATCGCGTCAACCCCCGTCCTCCTCCTCCTCCTCTTCAGATCTGCCACGCGGCCTGTGCGCCCGCAACGCACGCACGCACGGGTTTTTCCTGGGGGGGAGAATTATCTTGCGTGCGGTTGGGCGCTTACCCCCCCCCCCCCACCAACTCAGCGCAAAGGAGGAATTTCTTAAACGTGTAAAGTGTTCGGAACAGGTCGCGTAACGTCACTGGACGAATTATACGTGAGCATATTGGGCCACGTGGTGACGTGGCACCGAGTTTGATTCTCACAACTGGAAGGTTGTGAGTTCAAACCCCCCCCCACACCACCGTGTTAGGGTTGGACTGAGCCCACCATTATCCCAGGGGTGGAAACATTTTATTGTCTGTCTTGGTGCCCATATTATTTGCCAGGGTCGTGATTCAATTGAAGAATCAATTATTTATTTACGCTGTTGGGGAAATTAGCAGACTGCAGTGGTTGCATAGAGCGTACACAAATAAAAAAAACACGTCGCTACTTACACACGTGATTAAACATGTTTATATTGTGCTGAAGAATCAATATCGGTCAATGAATCCAAGCATCGGTGACATCTACGCACACCACCACCACCACCACGATGCGCGGTCCTTTGACAGACGATTCTTCGAGACATCTGGAAGTTGCAGGGTGGGTCCCATTCACTGCTGAATCTGACAACGTGTAGCGACACGACCGCACTGTATGATAGCTGGCGCCAAACTGTGCCACACGCCCTCCCGCATGGCACTTTTGCTTCCGATTCCGTTCAGAATTGATTCTCTTCCCGATGACGTACGGAACGGGAAAGGGTTAACATCCCGGCACGATGCTCGCTGGGACGTCAAGGTCCGTGCGAGAGCGATGTCGCACCGAGACCTCGTCTTTTGTCCAGGTCAATGAGCAGATGTGGCTTCGCTCATTCAATAATGCTGCAGCGTCGTATTGTCAGGGGGGGCCCCCCGAGGTTATATTTGAAGCAGCGAACGCAGAACGCAGACAAGAGCCCAGTTACCAGCGGGGTCATCCTCTCGACGCAACGCGTTAAAAATAAAGCTGGCGCCAAGCTGCTCGGTTGGGGCGTTTCTATTTGCATTTCGAATCGAAAATTGCATTAATGCGTTCTCATTATGACTTTAATGGATATATTTTAACATCGATCCCTGTGTAGCGCGTGCAAATTAAAGTCGGTGCCAAATTGTATTATGGCACGATCATAAGCTAAATTGGAAGCAGATAAAAAATGAATATGTGGGGGAAATAAAATTGAGAAGAAAATTACACATTCCTGATGTGTTTCCCTAGCAACGAATTCTGCGCTTTGTTTTTCAAGATAACTCTCGGAATAAAAAACTCCTCAGTATTTTATGTTCATCGCTTCTGTCTTGGCCTGAAATCGGCTGCCAACGCCACTGCCGGCAGCTTCAGAGAGCTCCTCTCGAGGGTGTTGTGGGTCGACGCTTCTACGCTGGCCGGAAGTCTTGGAGGAGGTGGCAGTAACCAACGCTTTATCCCACCACACGCCACATGCCAATCAACCAACTGTGGTGAAACCATTGACACTGCTGGGAAGGATCTGGAGTAGCCGGAGGAAACCAATGCAGAAAAACGAGAGGGGGGGGGGGATGGGGGCGGAGAACATACAAAGTCCAGACAGGCGAATATACAACGTCGAGACAAAACGATGGCTCAAAGTCTGGAATCGAACCCAGGCCGCTGCTGCTCGCGAGTCGCGAGTGCTACCGCTTGCAGCGCCAACCTGCCGCCCGCATACAGAGGCGAGGGCGTTTGGGTCGAGCAGGGTACCGATGTTTCCCAGGCGCAGGTGTAGCTGCCCCACGACGACGACGGCTGTGCTGAGGGCCTGCGGGCCGCTCGGGTGCAGCTGCTCGTAGTCCGTCGTGACGACGTCCGCGTGGTGCCACGCCTGCACCGCTCCGCGCCCGCACCGCAGCAGGTGCTGCTCGTCACGCCGACACAGGGGGGGGGGGGGGGGATACGACGCGATCAGCACCAACGTCCGTCGTCGACTCCGGACGCGTGAACCGTGATGAGAGTCCGCAGAGGCGTGCAAACGGCAAGGTTTTTTTTCTCGCCAACGACAACCACCTGCCCATCATCGACCAAGACCTCAATAATGTCACCTCGCCCACAGACTCAAGGCCTGATCCCCCTTTTGGCATCGCGCTCTCATCATCCTAGAATCTGACCAAGATCAGGAAGGACGCTGGCCAAACAGAGTACAACAACGTGGGCGTCCAGAACATACACCTCATTCGAAAACCCAAACATCACAAGGCAGATGTGCACATCTCCTTCATGAATGGAATATTAAAGAAAATCCACAGTTCTACGACTGTGAGCATGTGACCCCAACTATGGACCATGTCGTAAACCACTGTAGTCTGCGCTCCGTCAACGTAGGAACAGCAAAACTACACAAAACTCTCTCATGAAGCCCTTGGCATTGCCATTTGACTGCACGTATTGCCATCATACGCAACAATAGAATAGAATAAAAACCAGGACGAATACCGACAGGGGCCCTGTGATGAACACCAAGAGCGGTCACCAATGAATGTGAAGCGGTAACCAACACAGACACTGCCAGGGACACAAATGCAGACATTGACATAAACACCAATGGCAGTCATCAAGGAAGAAGTCGACACAGTAACCAGAACAGACACTGCCATGGTAGTCATCAACATAGACACTCACACAGTCATCTACGTAAACACTCACACAGTCATCTACATAGACACTGACACACTCATCTACGTAGACACTGACACAGCCATCAATATAAACACCAACATAGCCATCAACTCCCAGTTATAAAAACGACAGCTTTAAAAAGAAATCGACACAGACACCAATAAACATACTGCATCTGACAGCCACAAGCACACAGTCTAAACGCCTGCGGAACGATTTCCCTACAATTGAAGGGATAGCTGAAATCAAGTGCGCTGTGTACTACGAACACTGACAAAAAAATCCTTCTTCTATGCTCTCCATAATTTCGCGTGGCTGCAAGTCACCCAGCCCAGCAGCGCAATCACACAAGCAAGGTTCCCGTCAGTGTGCGTTTGCCACAACAATGCAGCATCAAGTCCGGCGTTAAATTGGGGGAAGTCACACTCCATAACTCCCTCCGAGTTACAATTGCCTCCGATGAAAATCCGACGTTTTGATTACAGTTAGCACGTTAGAGCAAATGCGACGAGGCCAAGTGAAAGACGTTGCTGCTGAAGACTTGCAATCACTCCCAGCAACATATCGGTGATGAAAGGGGACCCACAAGTATAAATCTTACAGCGGCACCACTCATGACACTTAAACCACAAACACCAACGGCCATAAATGACTCCGGCAGCAAACAACAACAACAACAACAACCGCCATTCGCCACACTAAGTGCCAGTGATGTCACCAAGGCATCTGTGAAAAACTGACTCAAACACCACCCACACAAACACCACCACTGTAGGTGGTCGCTCAGAATAGAAAGCAGTCGTGGGTAATTTCCCCGAGTCCGGTATATAAATGAGTGCGAACTAAGGAAGCATTTCACGGAAGAAATTGGATGCAACTAGCCGCACGACATTAATGGTCTGGGTTTAGCGTCGAGACCCAAAGTTCGCAACGCGGAACCGTGTTCACGGTAGCACTCTGCGGTGAGACAATTACAAAGGAAATCAATCGGAATATTTATTCATGCTGGAGGAATCCGATGAGCTATGAGGCTCTTTTCCGAATATGTCTAGTCAGGGCATGTCAGAACGTTACAACAACAAACAATACAAACACACGACAGGAGTGAAAAGTATACAAAAGGTATAGACAATAAATAATAAAAATGCAAATAGAACTTCACTATGCATTTTTTATCAGGTAAAACCCTCTGAGCTATTAGCTTATTTTTCAGAAGCGACCTGGTCACAAATGATAGCTGAACGAAGTGGCTTACCACGTGGAAATTAAAACAGCCAAATACTCTAAGGAATCTAAAAGCATGCTTCTAAATGGGGGCTTATACGAATAAAACACAAATTCCACATCGTACAATGACCTCCATGCACAGCACTTCACGCACGGCGCAAACCAGTGGAGTAGAAGCGGTGGTGGTAGTGGTGGGGAGCGGTTGAATAATGGTTAGCGCACTGCGCTACGAACCCGGCGACCCGAATTTGATTCCCTCCGCTCATGGCCAGCACCAGTGGCGATGATTTGAACCGGTCCTGGGCCTCCCCTAGGTCGACTCAGCCTCAAATGTCTAGCTAGTGCGGTGTGTAAACGTCGCCACGAGGGAGACAAAGGCGGCCGTGAGTGGCCCACGCTTGCCACCGAACCCCGTCGTGTGCCGTGCCGGCCTTCATGGTTGCTCGCTAACAGAACTTGCCCCATAAAATCTGTTACAGGCGATACGGGGAGGGATCTTTGTCTTTTGGGGGGCGGTGGGCACCTTGAGAGGGACGGAGCAGGTCCCGATGGGCAGCAGCGATCGGGCATCCCACACGTCGATGTGCAGCCTGTGCATGGCGAGGTAGTCGTAAAAGTAGCGCAGCTCCCCGGCCTTCATGATGCCCGGATCCACCAAGTACCTGAGATGCAGTCCCGGAGAGCCTGCATTGCGACGTCAATATCACAACGGAAGGATACGGGTGTGCCTGTTCACCTCTGTTGCTCGGATTTGTCATCACTCTCTTGGGTTTTCTGCGCAAGGGCTAGGGCACGACTCGCAGCTTGATCCATCCCATCTGATCCCACTCCCCCACCCACCCCCCTCCCCTCTCCAGCTCAACAAGCCTGGCATTCTGCACCAGGGTTGTTGAGCCATAACTAAGGACATGAGGATGAGGTGTTTTTCCTTCTGACCTTCATAGCTGTTTTTTTTCTTTCGGTGACACCATCACCATATGATGCAGTTTAACATCATAACCCAGGAGGGGGCTGGTCAACAATCTTACGAATCGTTCTATCAATTCCGAGTCAAAGGGGCCCGGCCGACAACCTGTGCGAAAGTTCGTTCCGGGAAGATTTTCTTTGGTGAAAATTTGCGACGGTGAATCACCACGGCAATGCGTTTCACCCGCTCCGGCCTCAAGATGTAAATCTGGCCTGATGCGTGTTTTTTTCTTTCACTCAAATAATCACGTGCCGGCACTCGTCTCCACTTGTAGTCTTACGCCAGCGGAGGAAACGCCAAGTTCGTACAGCAGGGACAACTACTGCTCATTTGCCCTGATAATATAATTGGTTTCAACGACCATGATCCTGAATCTGATGAATCACATGCTCTCATCACAGGCACATGTGACCGACTTGGAATAACAAAACGCAGGAATACTGTATCTGTGATCTTTTTTTTTATTTCACAGAATATTTATAATGGCATGCCCAGTTGGACTGGGCATGAGTCTAGTTTTTTTTTTTTACGGTGACTCATTTTTCAAATCATGGTTGAACGAAAATCTATCGTGTGCTATTCGTTCCGTAATGAAACTTAAGTCCAAAACCAAATCACACTGGCATTTGTGTGTCCTGGAATACTTGAAAGTGTGCAGCTTTGACTTAAGACGTTCATACCGACTGTGTTCATTCATACCAATTAAAGAGTCAATACCAATTAAGTCCAACAAGGCCTATTCCCCATGACCCTAGCCTGAACTCCATCCAATGGGAATGTCCATCACAAGCCTGTATCTGATGGCTATGCTTATAGGAAAGCGCAGGTTTCAGGTCGATATCACCCACTCAAATCATGTGGCTAATCTGAGGCACGCTTCATCTCTGAAACGGAAGGAGAAACCTAAATATACATAAGCCTATGTCCGTGTGCATGTGTGGGTCTGTTGTTTCTGAATAGGTGCTCGCTAACAGCACTTGCCCCAACAGTCTGTTAAGGCTATACAGGGATCTTTGTCTTGTGGGTAGCGGTGGTATAGCGGTTAGCGCGCTGCGCTACGAACCCAGCGACCCGAGTTCGATTCCCGCTCACGGCCAACACCACCAGTGACGATTATTTGAACCGGCCCTGGGCATCACCGAGGTCGACTCAGCCTCAAATGAGTACCTGGTGTGCTGTGTAAACGTCGCTACTGGAGAGACAAAGGCAGCCAGGCGTGGAGCTGGCCACCCACCTCCTGATGTGCCATTCCGGCGTTCATAGGTACTCGCTAACAGCACTTGCCCCTGTATAGCCATACAGGGGATCTTTGTCTTTGTCTGCATGCAACCTTCAGCGCCCACAGAAATTACCTTAGACCTTATACGTACATTTATTTTATTGCAGAATACGTTGAGTTAATCAGCTTCGAGTTTATATTCCGAGTTTGCGTACGATTGCCCCGACTTATCCACCTATGTAACGTCCACCGTAATATTTCACCATTGCCGACCCCGGCTTGGGCCAGAGCTTCATAGGCTCATCGGTTGTTCCGGCTTAAGTCAAGTGTCTACGTCCATGACTTCAAACGGTTTGGCAACGTTAAATAAATCACTCCCATTGAGCAGCTATTCTTCATCCACTGCCAACTACTGGTTTTCCAGTACAGGTGATGCTTGACTTTCCTGGATAGGACTTAAATTTGTTCCTGACTCTGGCATTAGACGTTCCCCTTGAACACTGATACCTGGGTACCATCTCTTGGTAACCAGCCGTCCTGCAACCCGCACATGTGCTCCAATCAGTTGCTTTCAAATGTAACATATAGTACGGCCCTTTGTTAGGCCACTGCTGGATAAAGGCTAACCCGTGCCGTGTTGGTTGTTTGACCGTACTTCACCACGCCGGTCAGTGCGAGTCGGTGACGGGATGGGGCTGCGGCGAGCTCCACGACCAATTCAAATATCGCTTGTCTCCGACACTGGTGGGGAATCGAACTCGGGTCGTAGGTTCCATGGCGCGGCGTGCAGATTCACCATGCCACCGTTTCACCACAATTGTTGCTTTGCTAGTGCGTAAATAAACTAAATAAATACAACTTGGGCCCATTTAACCAGTGCTAGGGCACGGGGCATACATACCTGCATCGTACGTCTTTTTGCCTCCCCATTTGGCACTCCCCCCCGCTGAATTGAGAACGTTGTTAATATTGAATGTCAAATCCCGCGCGCCGTTAAGCGAGAGAGACAAATTTGCCGCCGTTCGTTGCAAGGGGTACCGCGGGCCGCCGCAAACATGGCTGCCGTCGGCCATTGCTCCTCTCCGTGCTGCCCCCCTAAGCTGCCCCACCAACTAAAGGCTGTTGCTTGGCCGCGACGAATGTCATGGCCAAGCGACGTCGCGTGACGCCGTGAGCCACCGCTGACAATGTCCGTTGAACAAAGTGGGGGCGGGGGTTAAAAAAGTTAAATAAAATGTAAGCATCACAGGGCCCGTGCCTGCTCGCTGCTGATAAGCTGGGCGAGGAGGGTGAATGCCGTCCTGTGTAATGATCCTATCTCGAAAGGAAGAAGTTCTCTCCGTTCCATTATTAACGATGATTTATTCTTCAAATAATGTATCTCTTGTGCGTGAACCAGGTGCTGGGGGGGGGGGGAGGGAAACACCCACCGTGTTTCCTGCCAACGAAATGATGTTCGGCAGACGAGCAGATGCGCGTGATGGGGTGGGATTGGATTTTAACTCATTTGTGAGAAAGAAAAGAGATCCATCCTGAGTTTTCTGGATTACTCGTGTCAAGGCCTCTCTGGTGGTTTTGAAATGCCAAGCGCACTGAAAAACCACCACTCATACAATTAACCGCACTGGACGTGCCTGACCTCCGCAAACCTGGAAATCACGAGCGGATTCGCTGCGTGCCAAGAAATGAACTCCGACGCAAGTATGGCACTTAATCAATGCAGCAATGATTCCCTACAATGTGTATGATTGCATACAGAAAGACTCTTTTTACATCGAGTGAAATCTTAACGCAAGGAAATGCACCTCAACTAACATCGGTATACATTTTGTCAATCATATCCTTTAATCATTATGAATCATTTGAAGCCCTATTGTCGGTGATGTGGCCCAGCGGTTGCACGTTCGCCGCTTGTTGTAGAGGTTCACAGTTCGAATCCAGTGGGCCTCACTGATTAACACTACGGGTGTAATAACTGTGATAACACTACGGGTGTAATCAACACTACCGGTGTAATCAACACTACCGGTGTAATCAACACTACGGGTGTGATCAACACTACCGGTGTAATAACTGTGATAATACTAGGTACTCCTTTTTTCTTCACGGTGGACGTTAATCAGAATCTTTATTTATCGTGGAGAAATCTGATGAGCTATGACGCTCTTTTTCCACAGATCTCCAGTAGGATCTAGCAGTCCAGCAGTTAAAGATCCCCCTGACGTCACTGGCAAGAGTAGACCAATGTGTTTTTCTCTGGTGATGGTGCAAATTTGGCCAGATTCGAAAATGTACTGCAATTTACACAATTGGGACTATACACAGCAATCTCCAATTAGCATGGTAGCACCTCCGATTCGCATGGTTGGCTACGTACGCTGCGAAAGAAGTTCCACATACATACATGAGAGGTTTTTTGGGTTAGATCGCGGAGAAAAAAACACGTCATTAAAACCACCACCACCTGACACAGCCAATTAGGAAGGTTTGTCACGTAAACAGAACGTTCCAATTCGTTACTAGCACAGCACACCGACCGAAACAGGAGGAATATTTCTCCACAACCCTGACTATCGCCTAATGATGCTGGTTGTAATTACTGACGAAACGTTGTACTCGAATTGTAAACGTTGTGAGTTTACACTCCAACACACCGGTGAGCTGTACTAGTGTAGAGGATGCTCGGGACATCCTCGCACACAAACACCAGGGGTTAAGGGTCACGGGAGCGCATGCCGTGTACTACACGCAATCCGATTATTATTGAGTGGAGGACCCTTTGATCGGATTGGCCCCAGAAGGATTAACAGAGTTGGGAAAACCTGAGAAGGATTGTCAAAGGGGTAGAAAACCCCGGCAGTGTGACACAGGGCGGGGGACGGGCTACATAAGGGAGAGAAGTTGGAGGGTTTCGAGGTTGGTTTTCGATGATTAGCGGAAGTACGGTGTGAGTTGCTTTGTAAATAAAGATCCTGCTTAACCATCTCAAGTCTCCTCGTCACTAGTAAGGATTTGGCGTGTTCTGTTAACGTGACAAAGCTTACTAATTGGCTGTGTCGGGTTGTGGCAGGTTTAACGACACATTCATATTTACGCGATCTAACCTAAAAAACCTATATTATGGCTATTGGTCGTGTTAAACATAGGTACGTACAATCATCCCCCCCCCCACTTTTGGCAGACTAATGCCCCCGATCACCCTTGCAAGAGACACTCATCTTGGTCTCTTGAGTTCTCACCTTGTTCAACATAATCAACTTTAACTTTGTAAATCCACAAACAGATGAAGGCATGCATGTCGGTCATGGGGGTTATCTAACCATAACCCATCAAGGTGGCCAGCATTAGATGGAAAACGGTGTTGGGGGGTGGAGTTGGGGGTCCATGACCGATTATAATGCTGGATACAACCACATTTTTGCCATTGTGATTTGTGACTTTGATCCTTATCCGTATGTCGATAGTTCAAGTTTAACGTGCAATTTTTATTGAGGGCCTGTGCATTGTCTTGGTGTGGGGTCTGGGACTGTTTTTGTTCAGGTTTTCCTGCAGTGCCAAAGATTCCATTTGGTGTTGAAAATCGACGTGAATTGATGCACTTATACACTTTTATGTATTTACATTTAGTGACTTGTTTCACTTTCCTATACTTTGCACTCCTATTGTGTTTTTGTACTGCTTGTCTTTGCAACTTTCTGACCTGCCCGTCCTGGACGTTTGTGAAAAAAAATTGCTTCGGATCTCATCGGACTCTTCCAGCAAAAAAATATATATATATTCTGAATCCGCTATCACTTGCCATTTACTTTAGCCACGGCTGGGAATCGAACTCAGGTCACCATGTTCATTGCCCAGTGCTTTACCCGATCCCCCTACCTCATATCCGTTATTCACAGATATCCGTTATTTACGGATATGAGGGAGGGGATGGATATTTAGGTGAAAAACAAAGGGGAGAGACGAACACAGGCGCAGGAGAGACAGTTGAGAGTTCGGCAGAAAGAAAGCAACTGAGGTGCAAACATAGTTCAACTCAATAGCGCAACAATGCGACTTTCGTGGAAAACTTCTGTGTAGATATTAACTTACACAACAATAGCTTACAAAATAATTTAACTTGCTAAAAAACTGTTACGTGCACTGTTCGTATTTGTGATGATCCTGAGAAGCAGGGGGGGGGGGGGGAGGTGCAAAGACAGAACCGACATGAATATTTTCACGTTTCACACTCGGTGATTCAATTTGAGAATTTAAACCCGGGGTAGGGGTTGTTAAATGAGGTGCGGATGCAATGTCATTCCGTACAAAGCAGAGGCATCTCGCCCCGATTGCACGTAATATTGGGGCAGGCAATTAGGTCAAGGGAGGTGGGGGAGCAACAATGAGTCATTGGTTGAGCATCACGTTTTTGAAAGTGTGACTTTGGATCTGAAAAGACTCCCAGAGGCAAACGCAAAAAAAAAACCCCACCCAATTACGCGTGCCTTCAACATTTGCCACGTGATTTTTCGGTACTGCTGTCTGTGCGGCACGCTTAATGGAGAACGGTGAACGAACGCACGCATCATCGCCACGCGTCGAAGTAACAGACGTTAAATGGTAATTGTGATAGGCACGTTTTGAGACACTGCAACTTTTTTTTTCCAGCCGTCACCTTACAAGGGTCTTTTAATTTTCTACTCCGACCTTTCCACGGATCTTTTAATCTGCCACTGTGACCTTCAAAGGCCTTTTCAAACAAGAGATGGGCTCTCGAAAGAAATCAGGCTATTTAATGTAATTTTTTGTAAAGTTGACCTCTCGCACAACGAGGAAGCGTAGGAGGGCTACTGAATTGGCCGTTTCGGTCAGAGGGATACATAGACCGCAAAGAAAACTGGTAGGATATGGGGAGGTCAAGTTGGTCATCTCGGCAATATTTGGTCCAATGGGGGTGGGGGTGTAGGGCACAAGAGGGTCGGGAGGCAATGGGAAGAGTTGGTCTTTCTTTGCGAAGGTTTCTGGGTCGCAAGTACATTCATTCGGACACATGGGCAAAGCTTGAACCACAGGAGTGGTATTGGGCCATGTAGGTGGTAAATGGACCACAAGGGTGGTAAATGGGCCACGGAGTGGAGTCGTGTCACCGTGATGATGGACGGATAACAAGTGTCGTAGCTGGACCACAGACAGGGGCGGTAGTTGAACCAAATGGACGTAAATTGTGCCACGGGGGAGTATTTGGCCCTCCATGGCAGTAGTTGAGCCATTTAGTTGGTAGCGAGGGCTTAGGGAGTGGCAATTGCGTGAAAGAGGTGGCCGTTGTGCGAGCCACAGTAATAGTCAGGAGGTCAGGAGGTATTATTTGCGCCGCATGTGCTAAGCGAGGCAGTGGTGAGCCCACAGGGCCAGTAATACAATCGCACGGTCACAGGGGGCAGCCAGCGATCTGCTGGGGGGCAATAAGCCACCGCCGCCTGCCGCTGTTTACCTTTGAGCGGAACCCCGTCGGGGCCCAGAGGCAGCAGGAGGGTGGGCTCGTCCGATCGGGCGTGAGCAGGCACCTCCGAGAGGGCCAGAGCTCGCGTGGCGACCGGCGGGAAGCGGTAGAAGTGCAGCGTGAAGTAGACGGACGTGGGCGCACGGGTGACACTGCCGTCCCGTCTCCCGCCACCGCCTCCTGACGCTCTGTTGGGAGTCGAGTCAGCGGGACACCGAAAATGAAAGCACCAGATGGTTAGGAAATATGGCACGGGGTTGCGTTTTTTTTTTTGTTAACACGTTCATTTTAATTATTTATGTTCTCGGTTAAAAACAGCCACCTACGTACATCAAACTCGGTGCAAGGAAGCTGTATCGATCACACATTGAAGTTTTTTTTTTTTTAACACTAGTCATCAATACATCACTGTGAGCTTGCTCTCTGATGAGATAAGGAGGATATGTATAGGTCCCTTATTATAGACCTCCCGGATGTAATGATGCAATTTATAATTGAGTCAGTCACACGATCGGTGGTTGTTAGTGATCGTTATCACGGCACGGTGAAAGTTGAGTGTGCTATTGATGCGTTCCTGACCATCAGCTTTATCACTTTTATTTTCTGTGTCTGCATCTGTTATCGCGTTCACAGTTATCATGATAATGACCAGCATCGTCATGGTTTTAATTAGCGTCACAATCATCATCATCATTTGCATTCTTAATCATCAGCGTTGTCATCGTAATAATCAATAGAATTATCTGCACCATCCTTATCTTTAGATAAAAAATAGCACCATATGCATTATTGTAAACAGATTCACCGTGGTCATCAGCATAATCAAAATCATGAATCACATACAATCATTTCCATCGCGAACTGTAATTGTCATAATGCCAGTGACATATGCTAAAGTGTGAGTCATTTGGGAAACCAAATTCAGCACTAAGGTTAAAAGACAATTTGATCTCACCCAATTGATTGGATTGACAGATGCCCTTTATTAAACACGGTGAGAGACCGATGAGATTCAATATCTCCCTTAACAAAGATGACTTGGGTGACCCGGGGTTATGTAGGGACAGTGGTTAACGTCACACAAATCATGCGGACAAACGTTTACAAAAATAGGACTTTTGGTTGTAATGCCAGCACGCTTGCAAACAATGCCGCCTGGCCTGCAATGTCCACTTAACCAGACACGGTGCACTCTGGTAATTTTCTAGAAAATAACTGGGTAAGTATCGTGAGAATGGAGTGGGGGTTGGGGTGGGGGGGGCGATCGCACAGTGGTTAGAACAATGCGCTACAAACCCAGTGACCTGCATTACGATTCCCGGCGACGTACAATATTGAATAGCAAAGGGGTATTTGAAATGTTCTGGAGGCGTCAACACCGCCACCACCATCACAGAGAGTCTTGTGATGTCAATTTCCTTGAAAGGACTTGATGATAATCTTCTTGACCAGTTGGGTGTTGCTTCATCTCGTGGCACAAATGGTAAATATATAAAAGAGGGGACAGTGGTTCATGCACTGATAAAACATTCGTAAAAATCGGAATGAATTTTCTAAGCGCACGCATGTGAGCCCAGTGAGAGATGAAAGGAATACATGTAAATTGCATGTGATTTTTCAACAACCCCTACCACACTGACCAGCGTGGTGAAGTATGGCTCAACAAACCCCCATGACATATAAAGTAAGAAGTTGAGCAAAGGTTCTTTTCAAACTGGCCCAGTGGTGAATGTCCCGACTGCCAGGTGCCCCCAACAGCAGGGTAATTGCAGGTTCAAGGATGAATAAATTAATATCACTTATTAACAATCACGGTAATCGCCATCGAATTACACGTGGTAAGAATATTTGGTAAATGCAATGGGTTCGACGTGTGACGCTGTATTGAAATAGTTGTCGCATACCTTCACTGAACGTTAAGATTTGTTCTTAATGCTTGGATTAAATTGTGTGACCCAATTCATGAAATCGCCTTCGGAGGGCAGCACAGGCAGGGGGAGAAAGGGTGAATTGTTACATCAAGAGTGGATACACTGGGCCGCTGAGTTTCTGTGTTCAAAATGGGTTGTGTGATGACTGCCAGATGCCCCAGCTGCAGGGACATTTCAGCCTACTTTTGCTTCACTGAACACACAGGCTGTGGCATGGCATGCATACATACGATCATATTCGTGTGTATAGTACAATTATTATTATTACTGCTCCTACGACTACACTTATTTACCCATGAAAGCCTTACTGAGGTTTCAAGAATCTTTTTTCAGGACGGTCCTGACAATTTTTTGCAATACAGGGCGCAATGTTGCTGTTACGTGTCACCCCAATTGAGTAATTTGGTCAATTTTCAGCATTGTGACGTTTGGCCAATGCCAGTTACGTTGTTTTTAAATCCTTTATATTAAGTTCGCTTGCTTGCTTGCTTGCATGCTTGCTTGCTTACGACCGTGCAAATCTTTCGGTCGTTTTTTAACCCACTTCCCGTGATCCCATCGAGCTGACATTTTCCACACAGACTCGTTGTGCGAGACAATTAATGTTCGTGAAAAAAAATTCCCAAAATGTTACACTGTTTAGGGAAAACAAATTAAATATTTAATTACCAATTGCTTAATACTGGCAGACAATCATCTGACCCATAGGTGGCAGCCATCTCAAGCCAGAGGACGAGAAGACTCTAGCTGCCACGCATATAAAGGATTTATAGTGAAAAACTTTGTTTTTACGGGTTTACTTGTTTTTTGCTCTGGGAAAAATAAAAAAACTGAGAACCCGGAGGAACAGGATTATAGCTTTCGTGACTGCAAGGATTCATATTCTTAGGTTGTTTCGGTAAAGTAAGCTCTTACTTGATACAGCAATCGTGCTGTGACGGTTCCACATGAAGACGGAAGCTTGTGTTGCCTCCGAAACGTCGTGATTTTTTATTTTATTTTTATTTTACTTTTTATTAATTTAAATTTTTTTTACCTACGTGACTTTACCGAAAAAACCTAAGAATAGGATTAAAACTCCACGGAGGAAGGTTCCTGTGTCGGCAATCAGACCCAAGTCCTACTTGCTGCAAGGGACAAGCGTTACCACTTGCAAACCGACTTTCTCTACTGCCATCTCTTGGCTACCTAGTAGCCCAGCAGGCCAGAACTTTCACGACAATTAAGACAACATTGGGGACATCCTAAAATACGCGTTAAAAATATTTAAAAGTACGGTACTATGTTCCGGAGCTAAATGCCAATGTCGAGGTCTGCTAGCTACTACATCGCTTCAGGAGTTCACGTAGTTTTACGATTTCTCTACTGAAGAAACAGTGGAGATTGGCTTGCAATATAATGCTTTCCAACATGCGTTTGTCTCTGACGGGTAGCTGGGCAAACACGCTTCCATATTTTGCTCTGGTTTACCTTTTCAAGTTCTGGGCAACCATTTGTTCAATTTCGCCAGGTTCCAAATTGATGAGTTCTGAATATTCTTAGGTTTTTTCGGTAAAGACACGTAGGTAAAAAATTCAAATTAATAAAAAGTAAAATAAAACATTAAATAAAAATCACGACGTTTCGGAGGCAACACAAGCCTCCGTCTTCAGGTGGAACCGTCACAGCACGATAGCTGTATCAAGTAAGTATAGCTGTATCAAGTAAGTATCTTACTTGATACAGCTATCGTGCTGTGACGGTTCCACCTTAAGACGGAAGCTTGTGTTGCCTCCGAAACGTCGTAATTTTTATTTTATTTTATATTTTACTTTTATTAATTTGAATTTGAATTTTTGACCTACATGACTTTACAGAAAAAACCTAAGAATATGAATCCTTGCAGTCACGAAAGCTTCAAATCTAGAAATGAGTTCTGAATAGCATTGCAAACTTTGTATTGAAATTTGGAGAGGAAGATGAAAAGACTTCACGCAGTCCACACTCGTAAGTTAGAAATCACGACAAATGCTTTCAACACGGCGACCGAACATCAATCATCGATCTCCCGTTCTTCAGAGCAACAACACAAGCCACGCCAATGGTCCTCTTCAGGGACAAACAACGAGCCAGATTGCCCCTGGGACAAGGATCCTTTAACTGAACATTGAGGGGATACACCCAAGCAAAGTGTGAGTATCTCACAATCGTAACTAAACATCAAAGCGATACACTCTGCCACTCCTCCTGCGGTTATCTGGCTTGACCACCTGAGGTATGCAGTCAACAATGCTTGACTCAGGGAGGAGGACGCCCCTGCCATGCATAGTCCCATGGGATGTTGGCTACCAACAACAAGGCAACTCCTATGACTAATTGGGAATGGGACGCAAGCGTAGGATTGATCACCCTGTCGCTGGCCGCCTTTGGGGAGGGTGTATAGTATGAAAGGCCGAAACACCCTAGGAACCAAAGGTTCACTACTGACGATGCGCTCCCCAAATTTCACCAGGCTCACTGTTCATGAACTCTTGGAAGTGCTTGCACAAAGGATAGTAACATCTCATCCAGTGTTCTTTGGAATCTGAATATCTGGTCTTGTCCAGTGACTGCTGAGAAAGATCAGCTGACAACAGGGGAAAGTCCTTGTGGCGGCACAGAGAGACGGCTGACAGGAGGGAATAGACCCCACTGGGACCGTCATGGGTTAGCTTCCCATTTCTGTAGTTTCCCATGCTTCGCATTATGTTGGAAACACCCGCTTTAGCTACAGAAAGTCAACATACGAGAATACCCCTAGAGTCTGGGAGAGCGGGGGTGGAAGATGACTCATCGACTGACAACATGGTAACGACTGGACCGGAAACGACTACGAGTAATGAGAGCACAGCACAAGAGAACACCACAGCAACTGTCACAAGTTCCGCTGCAACAGCAGGCCACAAACAGATGCAGGTATGTGTCTGTGGTTGGAGGAAAGTTACATCACACCATGGGTTGAGGATCCACCAGGGGAAGAAGGGGTGTTTGGGTAAAGAGAGACAGAGGCCTCGCATTGATTACTTTCTGCGAAAGCGATCAAATCAGTCGAATGAAGCACAGCAACTGGATGCAAACCATAGTTTGCAGTGCATCAGTACCACTGTCATGGAGGACGTAAACTCAAGCACCGAAGTAACAACTGAGGTGGAACCAACAACAGGAGTGGAACTCACCCAGCCTCCCAGACCTGCAGTCGAGAGGAGACTACCAGGGCACAGACCGTATGTGAAGTGGCCTGGCGCCAGTGACAAGAAGTTGTGGGAAACAGTGAATACTGACCTCACCTTGACCCTCGAGAAACTTCGAGGCACAGTGGAGAAGAAGTTGGAGAGGATGGGGGACATCATCTATGAGTACGGGGCAGAAAGCTTTGGAGTGCAAGAGGCAAAAGGCAGGAGACGGAGGTGGCAGAAGACAGCAGTCAGTGGCTCTGGATGAAGAGAAAAGACCCCAGCTGGGCCCCAAAGTGAGAGGGCCAGGAGGTATGCAGTCAACGCCCCTGCCATGCATAGTCCCATGGGATGTTGGCTATCAACAACAAGGCAACTCCTATGACTAATTGGGAATGGGACGCAAGCGTAGGATTGATCACCCTGTCGCTGGCCGCCTTTGGGGAGGGTGTATAGTATGAAAGGCCGAAACACCCTAGGAACCAAAGGGTCACTACTGACGATGCGCTCCCCAAATTTCACCAGGCTCACTGTTCATGAACTCTTGGAAGTGCTTGCACAAAGGATAGTAACATCTCATCCTGTGTTCTTTGGAATCCTGTGTCGGCAATCAGACCCAAGTCCTACTTGCTGCAAGGGACAAGCGCTACCACTTGCAAACCGACTTTCTCTACTGCCATCTCTTGGCTACCTAGTAGCCCAGCAGGCCAGAACTTTCACGACAATTAAGACAACATTGGGGACATCCTAAAATACGCATTAAAAATATTTAAAAGTACGGTACTATGTTCCGGAGCTAAATGCCAATGTCGAGGTCTGCTAGCTACTACATCGCTTCAGGAGAGAGTTCACGTAGTTTTACGATTTCTCTACTGAAGAAACAGTGGAGATTGGCTTGCAATATAATGCTTTCCAACATGCGTTTGTCTCTGACGGGTAGCTGGGCAAACACGCTTCCATATTTTGCTCTGGTTTACCTTTTCAAGTTCTGGGCAACCATTTGTTCAATTTCGCCAGGTTTCAAATTGATGAGTTCTGAATATTCTTAGGTTTTTTCGGTAAAGACACGTAGGTAAAAAATTCAAATTAATAAAAAGTAAAATAAAAAATTAATAAAAATCACGACGTTTCGGAGGCAACACAAGCCTCCGTCTTCAGGTGGAACCGTCACAGCACGATAGCTGTATCAAGTAAGTATAGCTGTATCAAGTAAGTATCTTACTTGATACAGCTATCGTGCTGTGACGGTTCCACCTTAAGACGGAAGCTTGTGTTGCCTCCGAAACGTCGTAATTTTTATTTTATTTTATATTTTACTTTTATTAATTTGAATTTGAATTTTTGACCTACATGACTTTACAGAAAAAACCTAAGAATATGAATCCTTGCAGTCACGAAAGCTTCAAATCTAGAAATGAGTTCTGAATAGCATTGCAAACTTTGTATTGAAATTTGGAGAGGAAGATGAAAAGACTTCACGCAGTCCACACTCGTAAGTTAGAAATCACGACAAATGCTTTCAACACGGCGACCGAACATCAATCATCGATCTCCCGTTCTTCAGAGCAACAACACAAGCCACGCCAATGGTCCTCTTCAGGGACAAACAACGAGCCAGATTGCCCCTGGGACAAGGATCCTTTAACTGAACATTGAGGGGATACACCCAAGCAAAGTGTGAGTATCTCACAATCGTAACTAAACATCAAAGCGATACACTCTGCTACTCCTCCTGCGGTTATCTGGCTTGACCACCTGAACTGGATCCTTATTACTTGAGTTAATGTGACCCCACGTTATGGTCAGGCGAAGAGACAGACACAGACGGGCGGAGCGCCAGCACCTGCTGAAGGCCACGAACTGCAGCACGATCTCGTTGCCCTTCAGAGGGTCGGCCTCCTCCCGCATGAGGTCAAAGGCAACGGGGTCGCCGGGGTCCACCATGTCAGCGAGGCGGCCGTGGATGTCGCGGATTTCCAGGAAGCTGGCAGCAGTGTGGAGGCGTGCGAAGGCCGCGCGTGACAGTGTCGACGAGAAGCTACAGCGGCAGCAGCAGCAGCAGAGCGGACAGCGATTTAGCACGCGTGTATACGTTGAGCTTCTTTTGCACCTTAGGTAGCCAACCGTGTTAATAGGGGGTGTGTGTGGGAAGGACAACAAACTAAACACAAAAAGCAGTTCTAAAGAAATTAGCTTTTCATCGAGATTTAAAAGAGCATAGCTCCATATTCTTGGTTCTTTTGGTAAAGTCGCGTAGATAGATTTTTTACTATAGAAATAAATAAAACATTCACTTATCTTTTTTATAAAAGCAAAAAACCACAATAAAAATAAAAAGAGTAAAATAAAATTTAAAATTAATTGAAAATACGTGACTTTACCGAAAGAACCAAGAATATGAATTCTTGCAGTCACGACAGTCAGCATAGCTCCAGTGCCCATAATCGGGGCGCCGGGTCTCTTCCGTGGTTAGGACAGCGTGTTGAGAGTATCTTCTCTCTCAAGCTTTTGTCACGCACCTTCGCTGTGGGGGGGGGGGGGGGGGGGGGCGAAGGGGGCGCCGGGGGGGCGGCTCACCTGGTGGGGAGTCCACCGCTGGGCGCCAGGATGAGGGCGTCGACCGGAGTCACGGTTCTGCCGTGGAGCTGCTCGGGCGACGCCTCGTCCGTGTCCACGATGGTCCTTCTCACGACGCTGCCCTGCAGAGGATTTACAGGAACCCAGAGTTAGCTGTAGGATACGACACGTCCCGCACCTCCAGTTAGCACGGTTAGCTGGGTACGGTGTGAAAGAAGTTCAACATACGGACACACATTTCAACGTCGACTGCGTTTACTGCGAAGCAGATGGTGCGTACGAACGGTTAATACTCCCGCATTATTAACCAGGGTGACCTCGGGGCTCGAACCGCGAACCTCTGCGCTACCGCTGGCCCGCGTCACCGCCACCGTATATAATACGTACATACATAAATGTCGCAAGCAGAGAGGAAGCACTGTCGTGGAGGCAATCCTGGAGCGTGGTATTGTTTAAAACAGGAGAGGGTGGGGGGTAGGGGAGGGGGTGGAGTTCTATAAACCCCCAGCTGGTGCCCCCACGATGGTACACGGGCGCAGGGAGGAGACAGAGAGACAGGCCAGGAAGGAGGTGGTTCTAAGTGGTCAACCACCGGGGTACGGATGACCATGGAGTGAATGTGGAGAAGGCCGAGTACAGGAATGAGTGGAGAAAAAGGTGATGGACCAGGAAGGCAGACACTGCAGGAATGGGGACATTTCTGCAAGGAAGATATTTAGGTCGTGGCATTGACTGCAACAGTTGAGCAGAGGAGTCAATTCGGTGACCCTGCTTCGGTGACCGCTCAGTGCGACGATTTGACTTGACAGACCTCAGTCAGTGGTAGTAATTTATGATCCTATAACAGGCGCATAGTCTTTAATCAATTAACGCAGCGACCATTTCTGACCTCCAACCGAACAGCGTAGCCTCGCCAGTTGGTATTAGTTTGAGAAACCCGGTGCTCATGATTCCGACGATGATAACATTGATGATACCAAAGCCGACCCTGCCCTGAATTAGAACTGCTGGCTACCAAATGAGCTGTAACCATTTCTAATAGGCGTTACTCATTTAAGTCAAGAGTGCACTCAGACATGAATTTTTAATAGGGACAAATGGATAAAAATACAGAGTTGTAACGAAATGAAGTGTAAAGGGTAATTATATTCGAGGGGGGAAAATATCATGAAAAAATTATGGCAAATTAAAATTGCATTTAAAAATGAATTAAAGCGTGTGGTGCCTGGGTAGCCGAGAGGTCACAGAGATGTCTTGGGGTTCAAATTCGGACAGCCACCTGTGGATTAACCCCGGTTCTTAACTACAAATCCGATTTGAAGGCCTAAGCCCAGTAACCAATGGCCACACAAGAGCCCCAATCGCACTAAAAGCGGGATTTTCAATGAATTTGGATAAATTCCACATCTGAAAAATTGGTTTGACCGCCAAGCGACGAACATCTTTACACCAGATTATTTGGTGGTCATGCCGGCCGCCATCGCTGCTGCTGCTGCGTTGGCACTGATACAACAAGCAAAATCATAATCATAAATAATAAAAACTCAAACCAGTGGTCAAATAAATACTGTGGCCCTGAAAGGAAAATATACAGAAGAGGTGACGTTTTGAGCAACGGCCTTTCTTCATAGCACATGAACAAAGAAGGATCATTGCCTGGCACGTTGGCTATTATATATTTTTCCTTTTAAAGGCCACGGTGTTTTATTGACAAATATGTTGAGTTGAGTTTGTTTTTAATCTTTACAGCAGCCTGTATGAGAAAGTGCAGATGGACAAAACGTGACCTGAAGTGATTCCTCAGGAGTAGTTCTGTGAAATCACCTTCCACAGGCTGTGGTCTAACATGGGGTGATGTACTTCTCTGTGAGAGTTCCAAATGGGCGTTTTTCTCCGTCTCATGATATCATGCCGATAGCACAATTGGAACGATACAACACAAGCAAAAACACATTAAAAGTCATGACCCATGAATTCAAAATCACATGAACAATTTCAATATTTTCGAATTGCCAACAGCACACGTGAATTAAAAACCAGCAATGCAATAGTTAGTGGGTCACCTGCATTAATAGTCTGCATGTACACCCACCAATCAATCAATCAGATTGTTAATAGCCAATAGACTAAGCTCAGAAATTTGGACAACATCCACTCGCTATTTCCTTCCAAAATCCACACTAACTAGCTTATTTTTGTTCAATAAACCAGCAAGCCCACATGTATGCGTTGTACACCAGTCATTCCATAGTATGAGACTTTAAATCACTTCATTTTCATTATTATAACAATAAAAAATCAAGTCCTTTATCAATCCACTGCTGAATGAAGGCCTCCTTGACCATACTTCACTGCACTGCCCAGTGCGGGTCGGTGAAGGAGCGACCCTATACTGGTTCAGGAATGGTTCACACCCACGGCTAATGCCACCAACAATTATAATTAGCCATGGCCGAGAATCAAAATCAGGCGAGCCGGTTCATAGTCCAGTGAACTAACTACTGCATTACCGCTGAACCCCCTAGATGATCACTGTTCCACTGAAACCCTGGCAGTGCGCTGTGCGACACTTCGTCGATGAAATGCGTGCGAAAATAACAAGAACACGTCTCTGACATTATCCACAAGGGAAGGCAGCTTTGTGCTGGAAGTCACGGCTGAATATTAACATTTTATGAAAGCGCTCATATGCCATGTTATAACGTGTGCGGGTCCTGTGAGCACACAACTGATAAAAGGAGACACTTGACATGGCGAAGAGGACAATTACACGATTCTCTGTGTGTATATACATATGTATGTAAAATACCATTTTAAATCCGTTTTTCTGCTAGTACAAACTAAATGCCAGTCAGGGCTTATAAAACCAATCTCCGTTATATAAATATATAAAAATAACCCGAATGCGTACACATGCTTATTTTTCTTTACATACGAGTAAAGTAAACACAATTGGAATTGACACGGTGTTGTGTCTATGTTGTGCTCGTTTAATCCCCCCCGTGTAAACCACTGAATAGCGACTGCTGCTGCTGCTGCCACCATTCCTCATCTCAGTCACTCACTAACAAATGTTCATACCCACGAACAAAGACTCCCGTACTGCCCTTGGCAGACCGTTGGGGCAAGTGCGGTGAGCAAGCGCCTAATAATGCTGGCACGGCACACGAGTGAGTGGTGTGGCCAGAGCCGCACCCCATCACCTTTGTCTCCCCAGTGCTATTGTTTACACAACACACCAGGCACAGTACTCAATTAAGGTGAGTCGATTTCGGGGAGGCCCAGTTCAAGTATTCGCCACTGATGTTGGCTATGAGCGGGCATTGAACTCTGGTCGTCGTGTCAAAAGCATAGGCCGCTACCAGCTCCACTACTGCTCCAAATAAAAAGACAAAGATGCCCCGTATAGCTGAAACAGACTATTGGGGTAAGTGTTGTGAGTGAGCACCCATGAAGGCCGACACGGCAAACGAGGGGGTGGGTGACCAGCATCACGCCAGGCCTCCTTTGTCTCCCTAGTGACGATGATTACAAACCACGCCAGGCACTCATTTGAGGCTGAGTCGACTTAGAGTAAGCCCAGGACCTGTTCAGATAATCGTCACTGGTGTTAACCCGGTCGCCGGGTTAAAAGCGCAGGGCGCTAACTGCTACACTATCTCTCCCCATACTCTCACACACACATACATACAGAGAGAACATGCAACTAGAAATACCCCGCATCCCAAACTGCTGCCCTCCACTGGCTCCGGTTCTAGCCCTGGATCAAGTTCAAGACGTTGTGGAGTGAATCATGCAGCCAGCTATGGCTGCAGAGTTTGGTAATACATGTTGTTTACGTCGTTATTGTGAAAATTCGGTCACAGTTCCTATGATCACTGTTTCATTGCTTTAATGGCTTTATTTTGGTGATTTTTGAAAAGTTTTCGGTTTGGCCATGTTTGTTTGTTGTAGTACAGAGTTAGACTGATGGCCTTAAGCTAAGTTGTCTTGTGGTTGTTGTTGTTTGACTTGCATCCCACTGGGATTTATGCACACAGTGTTGGTGTACGGTGCTTTTTCTGCAATATTTTGCTGTCTTTGCTTGGATTTTCTGTTAGCACATATTCACTTTAAAATGTTTTCTTGTTCATGTTTTTTTTTGTTTGTTGCGGTTGCACCCGATTCAAGAGCCGAATGGCTCACAGGGCTATACCTAATAAATGAAACTTGAAACTTCTTGCCTCTCCCATCTCATCGCTCTTTAATTCCTCTGATTTTGCTCTCCAATTCAAATGCTCAGTCAACCCTAGCTCAGTGTGACGTCGCTCCTTCTCCTCTGCTGCTCTGATTGTGTGGAACATACTCTCCCCGGTCCATGTTCCAGTCCTTGCTCAAACGTTCCTCTTCTCAGTTTAACAAGCAGTAGAAGGAGGCCTTTTCGACCAATATTACCCACAATATAGGTTTTTGGGTTAGGTCGCGTAAATATAAATGTGCCATTAAACCCGCCACCACCTAACACAACCAATTGGTAAGGTTTTTTTTTTACGTAAACAAAACATGCCAAATTCGTTACTAGCTCAGCACGCCGGTGTGTCGGAGAGATGACCCACGAATTGGCATGTCTTGTTCGTGACAAACCGTACTAGTTCCTACTCTCATTTGCTAATGACCGTCTCTTCCCCGTACATTTATATTACACGCTTACTTTTTCTCCATGATGCTCATGTCCCACTACTTTGCATAGAATCTTGAGATTCCCACTACTCTGATGCCCACCTTCGGCGGGGTGAAATACGGTCAAATAATTGCCACGAGCCGCGTGGCATGAAGAGGCCCCCATCCACAAAAAGGAATGAGATGCCCTCGTTGCCTTTCGTGTTCCGTTTTTCGTCCCGCTCACGCACCTCCCATTGACACGGTTGGCTGTGCGCTAAAGAAGTTCAACATACATCCATTGAACAAAACACGTCTGTGTATCATCATCGTCATTAATCATCCCCTGTGAGACTCCGTGGCATCTGCGATAAACACCTTAAATTTGCTCCGGTCTGTTGTGCTTTCTTCCTTCTGCTACCACCACGTCCAACTTCCGTATTTTATTTGATGACGGTTTCCGATTGCGTTGATGTCCTCCCTCTACATATTTTACCACTACGCCTCTCTTTCGTCGGTGTCTAGGCTACTGCTGCTTCTTCACAATAATGCCGAGAGTATCTACATAAATTCTCTACCATTCCCCAGCCCTTGTTTAAAAAAATATTTCTCGTATTATTACAATTCTGGAATCAATTGATTCTTGAATTTAAATTGCAATCTTAAATCAAGACAATTCAATTAGAGGGGGGGGGGGGAGATATTTGGGCAGATTGAAACACTGTGAATAGGCACGTAATTATGCATCTATTCATCGATTAAAAGCAAATCTGGCGCTAATGACACATGCATTGAATTACGTGAGATGGAAAATCAATAATTACAATGTGTGCGAGTGTTATAGTTAAGTTAATGAACCTAATGGGATGTGGGGGAGGGATAATGAATAATCACACCAGCTATATCTATAACTGGAATTACATTATATAAAGGGAGTGAATGAATCTGGAAGACGAGGGATCTCTGCGCAAAATACGGGCAGGGGACCAGAGAGAAGCAGGAGTAGCAGCAGCAGCAGCAGCAGCGGCGGTGGCGGCCGGGCACGAAATCCCGGCAGACGGATTCACTGCTGACGGGAGCTCAGGGACTGATGTCACGGTGGAGGAGGGGGGGGAGTCAGAGAGGACCGCGGTTGCCAGGGGCAACTGCATCGAGAAGGCTGAGTGAGTATCGCTTGGCCGGCTAGAAGTGAGAGAACGGTGAGAGCAAGAGGAGCTCCAGTCAAGAGGGGCATAGTGAAGTGAACTGCGTACACACGTCGAGAAGGCGATCGAGTGCTTGGCTCAGGTGGGCGGGGGGGGCCTTCATCGTTTCCACGTCACAGCAGTGAGCCGGCACGGGTGGAACGCGGACCCATGTCGGGAATTGCTCGATGGTGGTGCTGACAAAGAAACAACGAGTTCTCACCTGAGCCAGTGACCCGTGTGATTCAACAGTGGTTGTGAGCGGTCGTAGTCCAGCGCCTCGGAGGTTGGGTCCGTCTATGTATGTACGTTGAACTTCTTTCGCACCGTACATAGCCGACTGTGCTAATCGGAGATCATATGATCATCATCGCATGCATGGGATGCCTATGCTTCATGCCAATGAGCTGGAAAATATATGACAGTCCAGCAAGTAGGTCAGCTTTTAAAAATGCAAGATTTTTTTTTTTGAAGAGTGCAGGACCTCACCAGACTAGGAGACACGAACATTTAAATAAATTTCTTGTTGGTGATACCTATCAATGGATGGCTGAATTACAATATTATAATGTTAATGATTCATAACATTTACTACTGGAGATGTATTGGAAATAAAATGTTTGTCCAGGATCCCACTTTTAACACAAGAACCAAAAGTGGAAGCATCAGGATGAGTCCCTGCGTACCACAGCCTTCCTGTGTACACGGCTCAAGCTGCTGGCATAAACGTGCGATAAATAAATTAAATCTCACCACCTGGGCATCAACAATGAAATAGATCATAACAAAGAATAAAAGGCCATCATATACCAAGTTGTAATATTTCCCACAATTTTATTTGTTTACGTATGACTGAGTAATTTTGGTTACCTAGCTTACTAATATTCGTGTCTCGCATGCAAAATAGGATCAATCAGGTGTCCCAAGTACTAACCGGACTCGATTAAATTTGGTATATTCTGGGCGATGTGGTCATATAACGAAGCTCATCACCGAGCGGTTGAATAAGGGACATTAACCAAAAGAGGTGGCAAATCTCAACAAACTCTCATCCGGTTGACTAAGGGTCACCAATGCACAAATCAATCGATCAAAAGTATCCCATGATTCTCCTTTCAAGCGCTACGCCTAATCAACGCTCGGGCACCATTATTTAACTTGTTTCACGCGGTGCATCCAGCCAAAGTTGCCTTTCCTTCATTGGCGCGCCGTGCCGCAACGCAACCTGCGAGCGTTCATCAACGTGAAATTACAGGCGCTCACGGGCAGCCCTGAGCGCGAGCGGTGGAGGGCAGATAACGGCGCAATTATCAGACGCGTCGACGCGGCACGAGCTCGCCGACAGCCTGGACGTTATAATCCGCCGCCAGGGGAGTGACGCACAGGGGGAGAGAGCTGCCGCCGGCCGACAGGCCCTCATTTGGATGCCAACGTCAGCCCCCGTGGCCCCAAGGGCGCTTCGGTTTGGTGCCCTCTGCGTCACCTTTCCCCTTGCGTCCGCTCCGCCGTGGGGGAAAGCGACTTGGCGAGGGAGGTGACCGCGTGACAAAGTTTCACGTCTATTTTTGTATTAATTTTATCAGTGTTTCCACGATTCAAATGGGACATCTGCGTGTGCCAATTGGGTCTTTCAACTGGGTTTTTCAACTGGCCAGCCTGTGGGCCGCATCTGGCTGGCGAAGGTCTGCCGAGCCATGGCCCACCAAGACGTTAAGAGCAACACGTTGCCGAGATGAAAGAGTGATGTTGAAGTGGGACGATGAGAGACCTGGCGACTAGGGATGAGAGCGCAGCAGTCACACGTCCAGACGTCGTGACATCATGAGATGCCGTAATGTTCGGACGTGACTTACGATGTCACAACGTTCACCAGCACACTCTAGTTTATTACGTGGCTCGCCAGATAATACAACTCAAGGGCCCCGTTCCTACTGTTAAAGATTTTTTACAGCTCATCACGTTGTTTGAAGTGTTTTCCCTGCATCTTTCTAAGGGTTGCTTAAAAAAGAAACGCGTGGCTTTTGTTCGGGTTCTCACCCGGTTATGTAGAGCCTTTGATTAAATCGTTAACTTGTAAGCTATCAAGTGTCCACACGTGGAAGAAAAAAAACGAGGCCATCGCTTGCCAAGATCGTCAGGAGCCAAATCTCGACGAGACAGCAAAGACAAAAGCACCTTTGACGCGTGCGGCGTTTTGATAGTCTCAGCCTGGTAACTAATGCTGCAAGAAAAATAGTCCATGATTCAAGAGGTTCAGCTCTCATGGCTGTGATTTGTAAAACACGTGTAAGATGATTGACGCGTGTCCAACGAATTCTTATGCCGATTTCAGCTGGGGTAAGGGTGGCTTAGGAAAGGACGACCATTGATTGGTATACTTTTTAATCCAGGTTATGGGCAACTTCAAAAGAAGAGTCGTAACTATATTGTTTGTGGAGTCAAATTCCCAGTCTGTTCTCTTGCATGGTGACTTGCGGCTTTGCCTAAAGGTTTTCACCTGTCTCATTGCTTTGCTTGCAATAGCACAATCGCAATAGTAAGTTCGTAAAAATATTTATTTAAAAGGCATGAGCAAATTCCAGGAAACACAACTACTTTCTGCACTTTTACAAACGTCAGAGGCTCAGCTGTTGCACTCTCTCTGTATTTTTCACTCGCAAAAACCCCAAAAAATACTAAAATAAGTGCATAAATTATGCGGGCACGGTGCCGTTGGACGGCTTTAAATTTGAGATACGACGGATTTCAATTACTTTCTTTTTTCATCTTTAAGAGGAAGGGATTTTTTTTCTCGTGGTTGTTGGAAAAAGTCTTAAAGGGGAGGGGACAAAAATGTTAAATAAAAAAACATCAACTCGCTCCCGGCAAACGTTTTTCTCACCGCGTGATCTGGAGTGGACACCGGGTTGACCACGTGCCGTGACTCCGCGTGACCTGGACAACGCGCACAGAAAAGATGAACGCAAACGCTGTTTAAATGTGCATCCTTTTCGTCCAACAACGGAACCGCGGCGACGAGCGGTCTTCAATATCTCACACCGCGGGACACACTGTGCACGCATAGCCATACACAGCGACGCGGCCGAATAATAATTACTGTCTGGGAGGTGGAACGGGAAGTGAACTCATTTGCAGAATTTCCAGGAAGGAGCCCTTTGGGTATGCGTCGGAAGGCGGGGCGCTGTTACGTGCCGTCTGGACATGTGCTCCCACACTAGACTCGTGTCTATGCATACGCCCATCCACCTATCATCCATCACGCCACTTCGTACCGCTGTTGGCGGTGGCAGTGTGCAAGCACTAATAACAAAAACTACTCGACACAATTGTCAATAACACTGCGGCCTTAAAAGAAAATGTGTACAATGGATGAAGTTTCGGGTAATGACCCTTCTTCAAGTGCGATGAAGTAGCCCGTTGCCCGAAACGCCGCTTACTATATACACCGAACAAATACTCTTTACCGATTCTCTGTTTGCTTACATACCGGCGGTGTCAGGACTGCATCGATTTGTCGATTCAAATAATTTCTTACATTCATGATCCACGCGTGAAAGTGTGCAAGCAAGAATCATTATTTCCAGTTTTGTATTTCTTATATGCAATGGGTCAGCAAGACACTTGCTGTCACGCCACTAAATTAGATCCTTGCATCAAATCAGGACCACAAATTGCTACGAATCACCTTGCAGGCTTATATTAAATCCTTACAGGAGTATATTCAATATGACTCTGAAAAAGATGCTGATGATGATAATCGTGAATTATAATATAATTCGCAACGTGCAGAGTATTTGCTCAATCTCAGAGACGAAGGATGATTCAGAGGCGCGTGGAGATGACAGACAAGCGGGAAGGCAGCCAGAACCAGCGCCAACAATTGCCCAAGCACTGTGGCCCTATATTGGGGTGCTTATGCACGTTGGTGGAAACTGGAGCAGCCTGCGAAAAACACAAGCGTGCGAGGGGGTTAACATTCAATCCCCATTCAAACTAAAAACTGAACAATTTATTTTATTTTACAAGGTAGGGGCCCACTTAGCTATATAACTCTTTTTAGAGGTGACCTGGCCACAAGTGACAGCTCAACCAAGTGGCTTGTCGGCATGTGGAAATTTATAGCAGCCAAATACTCTAAAACGCACGTGTCTAAATGTGAAGGGAAAAACCCGAAGGACCTGGAGAAAAATCCATGCGACCACAAGGAGAACACACAACTTCCACATATGCAGGGATCAGGGTTGAGATCGAACCCACAACCTCCTATATACCAGGCGAGGTAGTTAACAGCTCGCCACCGTGGCACCCATTTCACGCTCACGGGTAGGGAGTGTCACGAATGTGTACGTGATCTACCAACCCTAGCTACCTCCACAGTGCCGGGTTACAGGCCACGGTGCAGTGTCACGACCAGCATGGGCAACAGGCTGGCTGTGAACACTGTAGTTAAATTTACACCAAATACAAAAAATATATAAACGCCCGCAAGGCCCAGAAGGGATCATGCGAATCCAACACGAGCCATGTGCCGCCATATAACAAGCGGCGGGCCTTATAAGGCGCAAGAGCTGGCGCACAATGTGTGAGGGTTCATACGGTCACCACAAACACATGGCCCGCAATCTTGAGCTGTAAAAGGCCGAGTCACTGACACCAAGCTGCGAATAACTTTGAAATCCTCACGATCCCTTGCGGGGGCCCTTATACATTGAGAGTATTATGACTCTGACTTTTTTTTATTGATTACTTTCCTAAGCTCTGCCCCGACACCGTGAACGATTCTCTGACGGGGATGTATGCCTCTCAGAAGATATTTTTCCTTGAGGACCTCTCTGATGAAGTTAACTGCTTACCACACACAGCATTTCAGCCCTTCAAGGTTTTCAAGGCAATGGATTTGTTGCCAGGATTGAGAAATCCCACCTGCTATTCTTATCTGCTTGCTGGCAAGTGCATGTGATGGATGGCAAGCGGTAGCGTAGCGGTTAGCGCACTGTGCTACTGCTACTACACCCGGAGACCCGAGTTCCATTCCTGGCCATGAAGTAACATCAGTGGCGATTATTTGTACCAGTCTTGGGCCTCCGCTATGTTGACTCAGCCTTAAATGCGTGCCTTGTACAGTGTATAAATTATCACCACATGGGACACAAAAGACAGGCCGTCACGTGCCGTACCGGCAAGAATGGTGCTTGCTAACAGCATTTGCCCAAAAAGTGTGTTAAGGCGATATGGCAGGGGAGGAGGGGGGGGAATATTTGTTTGTGTGATAGATATAAGCAACAAATTAAAAATTTACATATCCTATGAAAACATATTTCAGTTTCCCATTCATGGACGTTTAAAAAAAATCAACGTAGATGTGTTTTTTTTTTGTACGTCTATTTTTTTTTCAGCACAAATGACGTGTGGACGAACTGGCTAAGGGGCCACACGCAGAGACGAGCACTGCCCAATTCTCACTTGATCACCGTGACATTGTTTCTTATTTTCCACTTCATTCGCATCGGTTAAAAGGCCGTACCGATTGTATTAATCAAAACTTGCATCTCGCTACGTATTGCTAGTTAACGTGGTCAAGTCCTGTAAAATATATTTCCTAATGCTAAGAATTGCAATTCCAAAAAACCATCACTCTGTGCTTCTTTTCGCACGTCAGATTTAATTTAATTTTTCTTTGCCATGGATTAGAGATCATACACAAGTTGAGGACACACATTGCTTGTTCGTATAAATAAGCGGCCTTCGGCAGTAGGTATGAATGTATGTTGAACTTCTTTCGCACCGGTACATAGCCAACCGTGCTAATTGAAGGTGCAGTGGACAAGTGATTAGAAGGACAGGCGGCTAAAAGGGACGATGGCCGGTGGTCGAGTCTGATGATGGAGTGGCAGCTGAAGGAGGGAACACGCCCGAGAGAGCATCCGTCACGGAGATTGAGCAACGAAATCAGCTCATGTGTGGAAGCTCAATGGATTGTTGCGTCCCAGGGCGATGAGAGTTGGCAACAACTTCGAAATACTTCCATGCAGCAGTGGATAAATGAAGGAGAATGGCAAGCGAGCTTTGATGTTGGCACACAGGATTCTAACATTCACCCATTGCAAGACGGAAAGCCTTCCTCTAGACGACGTTGTCAGCTTTCCAGATTAAAGACCACTAAAATTGGATTGCGTTTACACCAAAAAAAAAAGATTAAAGGAGCTAAACTCCAGTGGCAAAGTCACTTTCAAATGTTCATGTTTACCCATCTTCTCTGCTCGAGTATGCACACAATGGACGGCGGATCAAATGCTTCTGCCAGACTTCACCCCCGTGGCCCGTAAATCACGCCACCATCACAATACTTCACCATTCTTCCAAAATCCAATCCCGGGGATCAACTCCAAGATTGTACTCCTCATCTTCAAGGTCCTCCATTCACTCGCCCATGCAATACCTTTCTAAAAACGTAACAATTTTTTGTAATTTTCCAGGTAAGGCCCACTGAGCTATGTAGCTCTTTTTCAGACGCGACTTGGCCACAAATGATAGCTCAACAAAGTGGCTTCTCAAGTGAGAATTTATAGCAGCAAAAAAAAAGTCTAAACGCGTGATGCTGTGTCTAAATGTGGAGAGACAAACCGGAGGACCCAGAGAAAAATCCACGCAACCACGAGGGGGAGGGACATGCAAACTCCAATTCAGGGTCGGGATCGAACCTACGACCTCCTGTACACCGGGCGAGGTAGTTAATATACCCCCTCTCATCGCACTATTCTCCCCTCCATGGAATCTCCTACTTCTCCCCTCTCATCTGACTCGACTCTCTCCCACACACTAGAGAAAATGTCTATTATTTCCCACAAACTTTGCTTTTGTGAGATAGTTTTCGACCTTGTGATTTCTCAGAAAGCCACGAACCACTGCGACAAAGCTGTTCCAAGCCGCTTTCTCCTTACTCGTGAGCTACTTGGGGAATTAATTGCACTCCAGGTTCTTCTTTATCTGTGGTCCGACGAAGACACCGGCTTTGACCTTTGCTTCAGACAGCTTAGGGAAGAAGTCTTGAAGGTACTTGAAGGCTGCCGACTCCATATCTACAGCTCTGGCAAATGGTTTCATAAAGCCCAATTTGAGGTGCAGTGGTGGCATCAGCACCTTCCGTGGGTCCACCAGTGGCTCCCACTTGACGTTGTTACTTCCCACAGAGAACACGGTCCGCTGTGGCCAGTCCCGCCTGTGGTAGTGCATCTTGGTGTCTAAATCTTTTGTAGTAATTTTCGTATTACATTAGTATACATATATGTTAACTTTGATTCCATATGTTGTTTTTTTTCCTGACTTTATGTGAACGAAAAGACACAAATTCGCCCGTTTTGAGGCATAAGCAATTAAGAAATAACACTTATTACCCAGGAACAAAAATTAAATAAAAACGTGTTATACCGTAGTCAGTGCAGCGGTGAGAGATGGAAACTGATGGGTTGGAGATGGTGATGGAGGCAGGAGGGAGGGTGTGGGGGATAGGGTCTCAATTTTGCTGCTTTGTGCAAATAAGAGCCTCAAAGGACATTGGGCCCACTTGGTTTCCATCAAGGCACAAATTGCCCAGAGGCCCCGGCTGCATCGCAGGAAGTGACATCCACAGTGAGAGGAAGGTGCTTCCACCGTTTGAAGAAAAAGTGCAAGATTGGGGGGGGGGGGAATCACATGCTATTTACATTTATTCCTACCATCTCTCACTGGGCTCACATGTGTGCACTTAGAAAATCCATTACGATTTTTACGAATGCGTAGGTTTTATAAGTGCGTAGGATGTGCCGATGTAGCTCTCCGATGTCTTTCAGTACATCATGCCCTGCCCAACACAACCAGCCAATTGCAAATCCACTGCTGGTGGCATCCCCACAGTATATGGACGTTGATTGACCTTACTTCACCGTGTTGGTCAG